TAGATATATATATATAGATAGATAGATAGATAGATAGATAGATAGATAGATAGATAGATAGATATATATATATAGATAGATAGATAGATAGATATACAAATAGATAGATATACAGATAGATAGATAGATAGATAGATAGATAGATAGATAGATAGATCGCTAGATAGATAGATAGATAGATATATAGATAGATAGATAGATAGGTAGATAGATAGATAGATAAATAGATGGATGGATGGATAGATAGATAGATAGATATATATATATAGATAGATAGATAGATAGATAGATAGATAGATAGATAGATAGATAGATAGATAGATAGATAGATAGATAGATAGATAGATAGATAGATAGATAGATAGATAGATAGATAGATAGATAGATATAGATGGATAGATAGATAGATGAATACACAATACTAATGCGGCTGTTAATGATCTTGGGCGGGAGGGACAAGGTCTTGCATGTAAGTGTTCTCAGGCTCTCGCGGTGTGACCTAGAATTCCACTAACGCGGCTTGTGCGCTTCTTTGTCAGCGGGCAGCCCCACAGCACGTGTTGACATATTTGGCAACCGCGCACGCGCGCACGCACAACTCGCAGCACCTGTAAATGCCGCACTGAAAGAGCCCGAGAGCAGCTAAATGGCAAATCACGACACTTTAACGCCTCGTAGGTGTCCGCGTCTGTGCTCGGTTCGCAATCTGCCGCTCTCACTCACACATTTACGACCGGCTATCGTAACCAACGGCAGCGCTAATCTCGGGTAATTTCCTCCCCGCTGTCGATTGCTGCCGCAGCGGTTTTATGGCGCTGTTATCGTGTTCTCTCTCTCTCTCAGCACGCGCGTCAAGTGTTCGGCATTAGCCCGACGTTCGTGTGTTTGTTACGGGTGGCTAGGACTACGGGTTACATGTGCCAGACGTTATACCTGCATCATGGATGATCGGAATCACGGATTACCTGGATGAATACTAATGAGGATTGCGAATTATTGGATTGGGGATCTGCTTTAGAGAGGCGCCAGGTCACCCCGATCGGGAAACCTAATTCGTCTAATTTCGATAGGGATTGGATGTACTCTGCGTACGTTGATAGTTAACTTCCAGGACCACGAACACTTGAGCCGTTTCTATAATAAACTTATGTTAAATGAATACTAAATGTATTTACTATCAAAGTCCTTATGTTTATGTACTATCTATCACCTAATAACTCCACGTAATGCGCTTATGCAACACGCAATCTCACCGCGCGCACGTCATTACGTACATTTAACTCACAGAAAGATAGAGTGCCCATGCCGCCGTCACGGCTTGCGCAGAGTTGCGCGCTGAGTTTTCCAACATGCTAGCATCAACGGATGCGATTAGCCTTATCGCCGAGAGGAAAAAAATGCTGCGTTTTTCGACGACCGGGGTTTCGGAAGAAACAATAAAACGCGGCAAAAATCCGCCGCACGTTAGGCCGGCCGCAACCCCCCCTCCCCCGCGCCATATTGCGTGTGCGAGAGATCGCGTTATTTTGCCGCGAAAAATTACGATCGAAGTAATTCCTTTCGCATTCTGTTGCCCGCAACCGGGCCACCGGCGAACTGCCGTGGCGGCGTTCCGATGATTTAAAATGCAATTTCAGCCGACGTAAATTACTTCTGTTTGAATTTGATCTGAGAGAGATAGAAAGCGAGCGAGAGAGAAAGAGGGAGAGAGAGGGGGTGACAGAAAGAGAGAGAATGAGAGACAGTGAGAATGAAAGACAGTCAGAGAGAGAGAGAGAGAGAGAGAGAGAGAGAGAGAGAGAGAGAGAGAGAGAGAGAGAGAGAGAGAGAGAGAGAGAGAGAGACAGTCAGAGATAGATAGAGAGCGAGACAGACAGACAGACAGACAGACAGAGAGAGGGTGTAGGCGAGGGTGCCTTCGACTAAGGCAGATGGGGTCGTTGTCGTATCAGGTACTACAGATATGTACCCGAGGTAGTTTTTAGGTTGTTTAGTATATGTGTTTATATTTTTATATGAGGTATGTTTAAGGGTTATGGTTAGGGTTAGGGTTAGGGTTAGGGTTATGGTTAGTGTTTAGGGTTAGGGTACACTTCTGTAGTAGCAAAGTCTGGTACCTTTGCCCTAGCGTATAATGACAAATTTGTCATTATACGCTCCTGATAATATATGTACCTCGAGTACATATCTGTAGTACCTGATATGACAACGACCCCTTGAGCTCGACTTAGCGCGTGACGATAGTAACCGTCTGCGGGCGGCGGACGAATGTGTGCGCGAGCGTGTATGTTGGGGGTGAAATACGTGCACTTTTTTAAATTAGTTTAGTTACCTAAGTTTTTTAATTTTTGATGCTGCGAAGAGTTTCAACGTGCGACGGCGGGACGGTGGATAGATGGACTAATGGACAACTTGACTGACAGAATAACGAGAGGACAAAACGAATAACACAAAGATGTAGGCTTACAGGCCAGAGATACAGAACGAGAATTATAGACGAGTGGACATGAGAGAAGGACAAAGGGGCAGAAGAACACAGGGACATCAGAACGAGGGAAGGAGAGAATAAAAGGACCGAGTAGCAGAAGGAGAGTAGCGGATGACAAACACAGGAACAGAGAGATAGATGGAGAGATAAACTCGGACCGATAGACAGACGAATGAAGAAGAAAGACCGACCTGTGCCTATTTACAGCTGAGACTCCGGCCCGACCTGCCACCTATGATAACGATGCTCTCTTGTTTCTCGACAGCAGCAGATCTTTGAGCGAGCGCGTTCCGACGTCCCTGCGACCTCGCTTCCCCGGACTAGCACCAGACGTAAGGTACCTGCCGACAGAGAAGCCAGTCGCATTGCAAACGCTAGTACTACAGGTAGTAGCGTCAGTCGAACCGATGAAGAAAGGTCGCAGTGCGGCTGTGGAGCGAAAGAAGAAGTACCTCACGAAAAAAACACATCGTCACAAACGGCCGACGTGCAGCAAACGGCAGGAACTGCATGCATGGGGAGAAATTTATGGAGCCCTTCACCACGACTCCTGCACGGTCATCATCGTCAAATCGTCTGCAATTTTAGGGCAGAAATCGTTTTTGCGAGCGCCATTTTTTGTTAACAGATGGTACAATACTTCCGATGCGATGCAGGAACCCGCGAATGTTTTCGTTATAATAATATTCATCACGCTGGAAATAACTCTCGACTATTGGCGCATGAGACGGAAGAAATAGGTGGGATCTGCGATGCAGATTGGGAGTCTCTCACCTTTGTATGAACTTGAGAGGGCGTGTACGTGTGTGTGCGTGCGTGCGAGCATGCGAGCATTCGTGTGTGGGTGCGCGTGCATTTATGTGTATGTGCATGCGTGCATGTGTGCGAAGAGGTGTTCATACGCGCACGTATGCGTGCGTGTGTGGGTACGTGTGCGTGCGTGCGTGTGGGCGGATGTTCATACATGCACGTATGCGTGCGTGTGTGTGTACGTGTGCATGCGTGCGTGTGGGCGGATGTTCATACATGCACGTATGCGTGCGTGTGTGTGTACGTGCCTGTGGGGGTGTATGGATCCCTGAACGTGTGCGTATACGTGCGTGCGCGAGTGTGCATGCGCGTGGGTGGATGTGGACACGTGTATGTGTGCGGGTGCGCGTGCGTGCGCGTGGGTGGATGTGCACACGTGTGTGACGGTGTATGTGTGCGGGTGCGCGTGGGTGGTTGTACACACGTGTGTGACGGTGTATGTGTGCGGGTGCGTGTGCGTGCCTGCGTGCGTGCGCGTGGGTGGATGTGCCTACGCGTATGGCGGTGTGTGTACACTGATATGCGTGCGCGCGCGCGTGCATGCGCGTGGGTGGATGTACACACGTGTGTGACGATGTATGTGTGCGTGTGCGCGTCTGTGCCTGCGTGCGTGCGCGTGGGTGGATGTGCACACGTGTATGGCGGTGTGTGTACACTGATATGCGTGCGCGTGCGTGCGCGTGCCTGCGTGCGCGTGGGTGGATGTGCATACGTGTATAGCGGTATGTGTACACTGATATGCGTGCGCGTGCGTGCGCGTGCCTGCGTGAGCGTGGGTGGATGTGCACACGTGTATAGCGGTGTGTGTACACTGATGTGCGTGCGCGTGCGCGTGCGTGCGCGTGGGTGGATGTGCACACATGTATGGCGGTGTGTGTACACTGATGTGGGTGCGTGTGCGTGGGTGGATGTGCACACGCGTGATGTGGGTGCGCGTGCGCGTGGGTGGATGTGCACACGCGTGATGTGGGTGCGCGTGCGCGTGGGTGGATGTGCACACGTGTATGGCGGTGTGTGTACACTGATGTGCGTGCGCGTGCGTGCGCGTGCCTGCGTGCGCGTGGGTGGATGTGCATACGTGTATGGCGGTGTGTGTACACTGATCTGCTGTACCGTAAATCCGCTTGGCCGTGCATACGTGTATAGCGGTATGTGTACACTGATATGCGTGCGCGTGCGTGCGCGTGCCTGCGTGCGCGTGGGTGGATGTGCATACGTGTATAGCGGTATGTGTACACTGATATGCGTGCGCGTGCGTGCGCGTGCCTGCGTGCGC